TTTAGTCTCGCCCTCCCCCACCACTGTGTGTATGTTGTGTTATAAGTAAAATTACAATAATTTTTTTTGTCATAAGGGTGGTGGCGCCATCTATGAATATAATTAATAAATGCTCAATAACAGCAACTTTGGTTGGAATTGCCTGAGTGACCTAGGGCAAAGACAGATACACAGATTTTATACTTTATATATATATATATATATACACACAGAGCAGAAATCTTACTCCGGAGGTCTAACAAATTCCCGCTAAAAGCCTTTTCCCTTTATATCAGACAATAGAAACCAAATGGATTCAATCTCCTTGCTATTTTCAACAGGATGTAACTCACATTTTACATACAAAACCACTCTCTTTAGTACTTAAGTAATTAAGTTTATATTTAGTTTTATAGATGTGACAAATAACTAATCTTTACTCTATTTGATGATTACGCAATATTTAACAGGGCTTGAAATAAGCAAGGGCCCAGGAATCAATGGCCTACAAAAATGTCGGCAAGGTCGTAAAAAGTGACTGCTGGGTAGCCTGCATGGCCCCTTCAAATCTAAAGAGCCATTAATAGTTTGACTCCACATAAGTTGAACTAAACGTTTCTTAACTCACCAGAACTTATGACAAACCATGAATGGACCTTCCCAAATTTATGAACACTCATCAGTTATGTACAATCCACAAACATCGTCACTATGAATGGCCGTGTATTCAAATGAAATACACTTTCATTAATAAGAAAGCCATCACTTTGTCCAATATTCAAACTTTTTGTATCAGTATAATAGAATTGATATTTAAAATTTCATTTATAAAATTGGAAATATAAAGTGATTATTTGAACTTTATAAAGATGACTACTGTTTTCAATCAGAATGCTACATTTCCAACTTTTTATATGTGACACCAAGCCTGCATGACATTTGAAAGATGTACATAAGTTATTTTTTGTCAAGACTTTTCAAAAACAGTCAAATAAAAATTGCAAACTTCTAAGTTGGTTGGATAATACTTACTGCACATACAATGTTTGTCCATGTTAGGGCAAACACTTTTGAATCCAACTATTCAGACTGCATTAGCCAAAAATAAAAAAAACAAACAACAACAACATATTACTATTTTACCGATCATGTCACATTCGGAAATCACCGATTGCCGATAATTATAGTACACAATCAGCCCGATTCCAATTATATACAGTAAAGTTGATGATGTCATTGTGTAGTATTGTTGACAGTTTAAACTTAAAAATTGTAATGACTATAGAGAATATACATTGAAGTTTTGTTAAATTTGAAATGGTTGAAGTTATCAATAAATGTTACATGCAAAAAATAAAAAATCATGATCTCTTTTTTCGTTTTTTATTTGGAAGAGTGAAACATAAAAATGAGGACTGACCTTGTGGCTAGTACATGATCAATACATAACGTTATGTGAGACAAACAAATTGTTTATGTTCATTGCCTAAATTCATCATTCACTTCAGCCATAAGTTCGAAGCCTTTTGTTATCACTACACATTTTGATCTAAACCACTTTCTAAACTAAACAAATTATTCCAACCAAAGGTCAAATGAAGTGACAGATTTTGAAAGTTTTCATTCTTAAAGAGAGGAATCTGGAAAAATTTAAAATTTTCTTGAAGTTAAAGCTTTCGTTTTGGGATGAATATATAAAAAAAAACCATAAAGAGACTTGGCCAAGAGTTACAAGGCTTGACTGTAAATTTTTGACAATGCGGAAACTCTAGACGAACTGGTTTTTGAGGATCAAGGAACTTAATCCCTATTTGATTAACTTCAGTTGTTAACAAGGTAACCTAATGTTGTAAGCTATATATTTAATACTTTAATCTTTACATTTGTTTGCTAGAGGGTGTATGACACAATATTTAAATTCATCAAGAAAGTTAAGAATCTAGAAATTTCATGTAGTATGTAGAAGTAAGAATATGATATAAATACAAGACTCAGTGAAGTATTCAGTTAGCTAATGAGTGATTCTATAAGTTCCTTTCGTTTGCGAGTATTTGTGTGTTAAGAGACTGGTTGAATGAGTACCAAAGAAAATATTAGTATAAGTTTAAGAGAGTAACAAATGTACATTTGCAGAAACTTTTGTCATTGTCAGGTACAAGTGGTTTACCTAGATACAGGAATATATATATATATATATATATCTATATAGTGTATGAAACCAAGTTAAATGACTGGAGGTTGCTTAAGGATTAGTAAAGGTATCTTGTTGATGTTTGATTCGTTGTTTAAAATTATAGTGTTTTTACTTTTTGTAAAGTTTTGAGTAGCAAAATATTCTGATGACAAATCTTCTGCTGAATATTATTTGTATGTTTATCAGATTCAAACATTGCACATAAATAAATTGTCTAACTGGCTACTATTTAATTATTTCTAATTGTAATCATGATACGTTTTCAATAAAAACACCATTACCTTAATCAGTGATAGTAAAACATGACTTAGTGATATATTTGTCAAGTAGGAAATGTCCAGGTTATCAATAAAAAAAAATTGTGCCAAAATATTTTTAGTAAAAAAACAACAACAACAACAAAAATTATTATTGCAAAATACACAAATGGTGATCTCCAGAAGATGTTTGTTACCTGAAACAAATTACTTAAAAAACAAACAAACTTGGTGACAACAGGAAGCTTAACACATTTGCAGCGAAAGTAATTTCTCTAATTATGCAATATAATCGTTAAGCCCAATTGTGAACTATTGTTTCAGATACTGCTAATTTTATGGCTTTATGTCAGAATGACTGCATTGACAGCTTTCTCATGAGTGCATCACCGGTGGTACATGATGTCCTGTCTTTACCCATTTAAGCTTTGGCAGTTATGTAAAATATGAAAATAAAAAGTGATTAAATAGAATGAATTTGTTTGATTTCATTTGTCCTTTCAACATGGCGTCTATGCTCCACTAATGGTACATGACAGAAGGCATGGCATTATTATAGCCATTTGTACAAAATAAATGCTTCATATAGGACTTTGGAGATGTGAGGTGCAGTTATATTTTATGGGTGCTGTGTACTACCAGTGGTGCACGATGTCGTGAACATGTTAATACCATGTTAAAATACTGCAGTAGTTCACAAAGTTACAAAGCTAGTGCACTACCCTTTTTTGCTTACTTGTACACAGGATGGGTGTGGGCTCTAATCAATTATTCAGGTACAACTGCTTAGCAAATACCTTTAATTGCCTAGCTTTACTTGGAGGCATGGAAATTTGGAAAGGACAAACTTGCATGAGATAAATAATGGTGTTTGTAGAAAAAAAAGAAAAAAGAGATGGATTTAAGTATTATTGTTGAAAAAAAACCCTATATATTTGTCAGTATTTAGTGCAGTGAAGACAACGAAATAAAATAGTTGATTCTGTTTACAGATATCTTAAGTTCAAGAGCGAGAAGGGTTATCTTTAAATTGGTTTAAAACAGTTAGCAGAGAGCTTTCATTATCATTAACTTTGTGTATTTGGGGTTGAGCTTAATGGTCCAAAAGACCTTCTGCCACTCTACATCTTAAATTTACTATTTTCTCCAGAAATTTCAAGACTTCTAAAGTATGCATCTAACCTAAAATAACTAAAATCAATCTTAATTTTAATGATTAAACTCATTTTACCATTGATATTCTACCTTAGAGATAGACACTATTTCAAATCTGTAGAGACTGTCTAATGCCATTATTAAGAACATACACACCATTCCTTTTCTTTGCTGCCACTGTGTTCTATCTTCATTTTCTTCGGTGAAAACTTGCTAGAAGTTTTCTCTTCATCTTCAGTATTACAACAATGGTTTAGAGGTTCATTGTTTTCGATGTTATCATCCAAACCCATCCTCTGTCCCTGTGCAGTTTGCCTGTGGATGAGGACACAAGAAATTGAAAACAACCTCAAAACTGTAATTGTTACCACTATGAAGACTTATTTTTTTTAAAGAATAGTTACATAGTTACGTTTCTCAAGAGAGTTTTATGAAAATAATATACATTTTCCCCATGTACATCAGTGCACTTTACAGAATTGTTCATTTAGTTGCCAACAACAACAACAAAAACTGTCATCAAAAAACTTGCTGTGATTTACAAAACATGTTATTATTAGGTTCAATTCCAGCTTTGTGCTTCCGTGTTCACTTTGTTACAGAATTTTGCATAAAGCCACACAAAGGGCTATCTATATTTAGCCATCCCTAGCTTTTAAGTAAAAGATAAGAGGGAACAGCACCCACTCCTAACTCTTGGGCTACTCTTGCCTGATTGAGTAATGGGATTTAACCATCTTTCTTAAAGTGCACACACTGTTTGCTTCAAAGTGCAAAACACATTTTTGTTGCAATGGGTCAAAAGAACTATGAATTCTCAAATAAAAGTCCAGAGGCATAAACCACTTGATCCTCTAAGATTCAGACCCAGTAACGTACCTTAGGTTGCAGTATCATAATGTTGGGTGCATTTTATTCAAGAAGCCTAGAAGGTACATAGAGTCATTACTGTTTAACAGGGTTTTCATTTTGTTTTGTGCCAGCTGAAAGGAGACTAGGTACAAATACTTATCATCATAAGTAGAGGGAGAGAAAACACTGGTGTTACATCAAACAAATAAAACACTAGATTTTTTAAACATGATTGTAACTAACATTTTTTGTTTATCAATCTTATCTTTACAAATACTGACTCTCAAATGTCCTGGATAGGCTCTGATGAACCATATGATAGATTTTAAAATTCAAAAATTAATTTTCAATTACTTACTCTGACTTGTTTAATACAGGTTTCAAACTAATAGAAATAATAATTAACCTAGATAAGTGCCGATTCATTTATAGATACATTTAATTACTACAGCTGGCAAAGTAACAAATGATTTTTAGTACAGATTAATATTGACACCATTATTCATATGCAATTCAATAAGTTAGCTGCAAAGTGTGGAGGCTGCCACATTCAAGTCTCTCTGAAGATGTAGAACTACATATTTCTAAAGAAAATATGACTCAGAATTTTTCAAGTAGTGATAAAATTATCTTAATGAAATACAAAGCATATGATAATTTTATAAATAAAGAAATTTTGAACATCATTTCATGATACTCACGACAATACTGCAATAGTATTTTTATAATAATTAGTATTATAAAATGTTAATTATGCAAATTACAGGCAACTACAATACTTACTTTTATTATTTACATTTGTGTAACTCTCATGTTCATCAATGACCAAAAAAAATATTATATAAAAAAGGTCTTTATCAGCTCTCACATGCAGTTCTAACTTCTACTGTACAATATCCCACCACCTCTCATGTACGAGTTACTGTTTTGCATATCATTTATTGTTTTGTTTCTTAACATAATTACGTATAACATTTACTCATAAAATGATAATTTTTCTTCGTGGCTATATTTTTATAGTAAATTGAATTTAAAGCTGTACATTTAACGTATAACATCAATATCACAATGACTTGTATTAAGTTGTAACACGCGCACTAACATTACTTCTCCAATTGACAAGTACAATACCGTACATTAGTAATATCAATTGTACTACTAGTTATATATAAAATGCAAATTGAAGTGCCAGTTTTACTTCTAGTACTAAAATTAGCACTCCAATTTGTATTTCATATATATCATTCGTTGTTTCGAAATTCAAGTTAAACAAAGCTACTTACTCTTCTTTTCTAAGTTTGGACTATTGAAAAGCAATAAATATGATAAATAAAGAATTTATATTTTTCTAATGGTGGCGAAATTACTATAAGAAGATCTCAAAATATGTTACTAATAATAATACCAACCTAAAAGAGTAAAACTAGTCACAAGTACCGTAGGTTTCCCAACAATATGTACCTTACACTGTACAAAAGTCAAAATATTCCGCCAATTCATATTGCCCTCTGTAATGTTTTGAACATGGAATACAATGAATAATACAATTTAGTACTATATTCGGAAACGTTTGAATTATTCATTAGTTAATCTGATCTATTCTATAACCAATAGTTACATTCTTTAGGTGGAAGAGTAAGCATCACAATATTATTTGAAAAATCTTTAATATTTTACTAACGAGGCACGAAAATATAACGACTCAAGTGCAGGTAAAGTCCTAGATTCTAGCTAACGTCAGAAGAAAAATAGTCGGAAGTGTTTCTAATCTGATCTTCAAAGACTGATTCAGTTTTAAATTGTACGGCTATTGCTGTTTTTTCTTTCTTAACTGCTTTTGGCGACCAAATTTATGGTTTTAACGAATATATTTTTTAGTTTATACCCTCCATTTGCTTGTTTGTTTGTAATTAAGCACCAAACTACACAATGGGGAGGCCCGGCATGACCAGGTGGTTAGGGCGCTCGACTCGTAATCTGAGGGTCGCGGGTTCGAATCACCGTCACATCAAACATGCCAACCTCCGCCTTTGCCTGGTCCCAAGTCCAGGATGAGAAAGGAGGAGGGTTGGGCGCGGGGCTAGCAACTCCACCCCGTAAAAACCAACCTGCTACAAGTAACTGCAACAACACATTCCATGGCCAGGTGGTTAGGGGTCTCGGCTCGCAATCCGAGGGTCGCAGGTTTGGATCCCCGTCACACCAAACATGCTCGCCCTTTCAGCCGTGGGGGCGTTATAATGTGACGGTCAATCCCACTATTCGTTGGTAAAGAGTAGCCCAAGAGTTGGCGGTGGGTGGTGATGACTAGCTGCCTTCCCTCTAGTCTTAC